AAAAAAAAAAAAAATTAATATGCCTTCATCCTCCAAGAAGATAACATATGAGTGCGTAATCGAGCAAGTGAGTATTTGAAACATAATCGATATGAAACTGTACCTCACTAATCTATGAGCCAATTCTAGTGGGAAAATCTGGTCGTGTTCTCCCCAAATTATCAACGTAGGCTACAAAAGAAAAAGAAGTACACAACAATAATAAAAACGAGCATACATTAGTCGAATAAAAAAAAAAGGTTACGAGTGATTGTAGGATTTCAATTTCGAAAGAGATCACCTGAGTGATCTTAGGCAGATCAGAAAGCTTCCTGTTCTTGTATAACGCGTAGATCAACTCTTTTCTTTCTTGGAAATTCTCAGTGCACATTACCTATACATTTAAGTAATCGGCTTTAGTGATACGAAAAAAAAAAAAAAAAAGGTGAAGAAAACACGTAATGTCGTGGGATTTTAATGAATTTAGTTCTTCACGAATTGTCACTCGGTAGATAGGGCACGAGAAGTACGTATAAGTCAGAACAGATCAAAACTAGCCAAGAAAATCCAAGAGAAGTAACTCTACATCACATCTTCTTTGTATTACAAGAAGAAAATCAATTTAGTTCAAATGCTCACACCCCCTAAATCAACCAAGTTCTTGATCAAACACACACTACTACAAGTGATCGATTAAACTCGCAAATCAAGAAATAAGGCTCACATGAACAAATTCATCTACAAATCTAACTACAGAGATAATGTCTTTCTACTTAATCATCAGAACATCCTATCCACAGCCCACAAATCCACTCCCAAAATGAGAAAAAAATGACGAAAAGAAAAATCACATTATAATCAAATCAAACTCTAGACAAAACAAGAAGACCCAAATCAGAGGAAATGCTACAGTCCCGTTAGGGAACCATTCCGTCGAGATTTGTAACTTTTAGATTATCATGTAATCGTCGTGGATAGTTAATCTTACGGCTACTAACCCCGACGGAATGATTCCGTAACGGGGTCGTAGAATCTCCCATCAAATCAATCCAGCCACCAATAACAATGTAGTTTAGTCAAAATCCCATCAATAGAACAAACACAAACAGAGCCAAAAATAATAATAAATTGAATAAAGATAGCATTTTTACTCTGTAAATTCAACACTCACATCAATAAAATCCGACAGAAAGCAAGATGGCACTCCCTTGGCCGGCTTATAGAACGACAGCCTCATCAGCTCCCTCAATTTCTCCGGCGTCCGAGCGAGCAGAATCTCGATGGCCTCGTCCACGCTCCCCACCGGAAACAACCCTTCCTCCACGTCCTTCTCCTCCATACACACGCCGGCGCAGCTGACCACCAACCTCTCCACCGCGCCGGGAAACTGCGCCGCCAGGCTGTAGGCCACGAACCCGCCGTAGCTCAGCCCGACGACCCGGAGCCCGGCGCGGACCCCCAGGGCCTCCATGGCGGACATCACGCACCGGGCCTGGAAGGACTCGCTACGCTCGGGCCGGGCCGTCCGGGAGTCGCCGAAGAAGAGGAGGTCCGGGACGTAGACGTTGAATCGGGCTGCGAGGGGCGCGACGACGTCGTTCCACTGCCACATGGCGTTGGCGCCGACGCCGTGGATGAGGAGGGCGGTGGGCCTGTTGGGGCGGTGGGTTCTGGGGGCCCAGCAGTGGACGACGGTGCCGTCGCCGAGGTTGGTGGTGGTGGGCCTGAGACCGGCGGTGGAGAAGGAGCGCCGGTAGCAGGAGTCTCTGGAGGCTGTGAAGCTGAAGCATCTCCCCATTATCTTTCGAATTTGTTTTTGTTTCAATTAGTTACTACTACTTTCCGATTCTCGCGGCAAATATTGATCGGAAAATCTGGGATTTTGGGTCGCCGGAAAAGAGGAAAGGAAGAAGAAACGAGAAAGAGAAATAGGTAGGTGTTGAGTGGGGGCCGAGTTGTTTTGTTGTTTTCCGGCTAGTGATTCAACTTTGTCATAAAAAGACAAGATTTTTAGGTAGTCATTTATTCGCCGGTGGTGGTGTTATAGTCCAAAGTATTACTTTTTTCATTACAATTGTTAAAACATTGTGGCCTGAATCAATCATGGGCTAGGAACCACATTATCAATATTGTTTATATTTTAGAGCATAATATTTCAATTTTAATTTATATATATTAAAAAATTATGAATGTTTTAAACTAAAAAATTGTGTAAAATATGTGTTAGATGTATGTGTGTAAAAACTAAAAATGTGTGATATATGTGTGATGTATGTAAACTAGTTTTACTCTTTGTATTTGTACGAAAAGCGATATAATGTAAGATAAAGTAATTAAAAAATATAAGATAAAATAAAAGTCATCACTTAATAAATGAGAGGTAATAATTTAAAAAATGAATCTAAATGTTATTAAATACTACATTATATACAACATTCGTGGTTTACCCATCTTCAGATTCTCATCACAATAAATCATTGTCGTTAAATCTCTTCGACTTATGACTCCGGGATGTGATTTTTCAAAATATTTGATTTATATTTGTAATATCCGAAAAAATATTTTTTATTGTTGTATGACTGCAATATAAAATAGAGATATTTGTAGTCATTTTTAATTAGTTGTAAAATATGTATTTATATAATACCAAAAAATCTATATAGTCAAAATTAAAACAAACATATGTGTAATCCACAAAACCCTTAGGCTCCGTTTGTTTTGAGGGATTTGAAATCCCTTGATTTCAACACAATCCTGTTGATATTAGCAATCAATCTAAGGTACAAAACGTCATTGGCAATTGGGTTGCTGATGCATACCTATCTACTGTTTGTTTAACCTCTTACAACGTGTGACACTTATATTGAGTCATTATATTTTCAGTCTGCAGCTTAATTATGATTTGATTATCATTGAGTATTACTATATGTTGATGTTAGTGGTTTGTTATTGAGTGATGCTGGTAGATTTTTTTGATTAAAAAGTGAATTTCAAATGACTAGGTTTGAGGAGTCATTTCAAGTCCTTCAAAATAATGACTACAAAAAATGTAGCATGAATTTGAAATTCTCCAACTTCCATTATCATCCCAACATGCATGAGCATTTGAACTTGTAAAATTTGAAATCTATGGATTTCAAATCCCTCAGTAAATCCCTCAAAACAAACGGAGCCTTAGTGTTCATATATAGCTGATTGCTTTTTTAGAAAAAAAAAAAAAAAAAAAAAAAACTGCAAAAAAATAGAATGCAATAATGGTTAACTTTTCTTGTTACTATTTTTAGTAAATAAGCTGTCTCTTTATATATATAGGTATAGATATAGAAGATATAGACTACGATTTTAATCAGAATCAATCGAGATTTATATCAAAATCACACCCTCTAAATTAAACTGACTTTTCTTAAGTTCATATTTAGAAAAAATATCCATTAATATTACCAGAAAAAAAGTATATTATTACTACGCCCGCACAAAACTAATCTGAATGAATTGGCGGCCGCCGCTGCCTCGTACGAACTCACAAATGATGACGTCAGCCTCTCTGACTAGGTTGATATTGCACAGAATCCTCCACCCGCCAGAGACGACCCTCCTCCCGTCCTTCCACATCAGGCACCTTGCCGGAAATTCCCTCCGACGAGGATCCACCAGCGTGATATCTTGCTGGAGGTTCAGGCCATAGTCGCGGACTACTTCCCTCGGGATGAACTGTACATGATAAAAAGCATATCACTATAATGATATATGAAATTGAATGCCTCAAGCCGAGTCAGAGTCAAGCATTTAACATGATCTCATTTTGCTTTATTGGTGCTTGAACTCAACGAACCGAACACTTTAAGGCTCGACTCCACCCGACAAAAAAACACTCGTACTCGAGAGCGAGTCGAATTTTACTTGAGTTCGGCTTGAAATTAGTTTTAATAAAAAAATTGTCTACTTATATAATGATGGAGCTCGAGTTTGGCTCGAGCTAAGGGTATTTTTAGTTAATTGATATTATACTCAAGAGGTCTGTCGAGCACTCGAGTTTACTCGCTAGCACTAAAAAAAATTTGTCATATACCAACAATAATACATTCTAATAGAAACTTCAACGGATACTTTAATGGTATAGCATTAAGTGGTATTATTCCAACAAAAATATTTCGTTTGAATTAGTTTTTCATTAAAATTTTAGTTAAATTCCAACAAAAATATTTCGTTTGAATTAAATTTTCATTAAATTTTAATTGGAATTTAATGATTTCTACGACGATTTTTCCAACTGTTTATTACCGTTGTTGTATGCAATTTTCATTAGAATTTTTATTACTAACATATTTTTATTATTGGAATCGTTAACATCCAACGAAAAATTCAATGAATATTTAAATCATTCCAATAATTTTTTTCGTACGAATTTTCGCTACAACCCAATGGGAGATTCCAACATAACTAACAACATTGGAATATCCATTGGAATTTTTGTTGGATACATGTTCCAACCTAAAGTAATATGATACAACAAAACGAGTCTTTTTTATAAAGCTTAAACCTTACCAAGTACGATTTGCGCTTGGGCATTACTTTCGTGACAAAGTAAGGATTTTTGGGGCGTTGTGCCTGTCCAGAGCTGAATATATCCGACCCGTTGCATACATTATCATATATTTTCCGACGTTGTATAGTTTTACTGCTTTCAGTTCCACCTGAAAAAGCAAGAGCTTTGCCATAAATTCATCATATTATTTTGTATGTATACTAAGAATATAACCAAACAAAATATGTTCAAGTCTTAAGTCTTGAATTTTCATATTTTTTTAAGTCATTGTAGAAAATGAAAGTAATTTGCAATCAATTAGTAAAAAATAACAAAAAACAAAACAAAACAAAGAATGAGGTTAGAAAGAGCATGCCATTTATAGCTCTTTCGCGCGCTTCTTGCTCGCTCTCATCTTCATCATCAGTATCAGAATCAGTATCAGTATCAGCATCAGCATCTTCATCATCATCATTATCATCGTCATTATTGGAGACTTGTTCGTGCGCATGAGCACTAATTATACGAACCTTGTTTGGGCCGAGCACAAGTCTTTGGTTACCCCACGGCCCGAAAATTCCTATGCTGAACCAGCCCTTATGGTAGTAGTCGAGCACCAAAAGATCGCCCGTCGATAGAAAATTGTCGCGTGCGAATTTTGACCAGCCGTTGACTAAGTACCAACAGTCGCCGATTTTGGCCGTCCTCACGCTCCATATGTTGTTTCGTACGTCAACCATGTGTACTTTGTTGGGCAGCGGTTGACCAAGTTTCTCCATGAATGCTGGAGGGATTTGCTACGACGACGTAACAAATAATGATAAATTCTCGTGTGAGGCAGTTTAACTGTCAGACATAGCTCGCTCTATTATACTCCTTGTCATGTATGCATATTTGTGTGATACAATACGGCTGCAACTTTCATAAAAATATTCCGTGTGGCAGTCTAACTGTTAGGCGAGCCAACATATTATGTTGTTTTGAACGTATGAAATAAACTTAATCAAAGAATACATATTTGTGAAACTGTTTCATCGACATGCATACTTTTGACCACAAATTTCATGCTCCGAAATTTAAAGATATATAGTATAAATTAAAATATGACATTTCATAATATAAATATATGCATTTATATTATTAATGTAGACAGAGAGAAAAATGCTTCTTACCAGGTCGTCCTTGTGGATTTCAGTAATAAAAATCTTGTAGAAAGCTTTTGAACGTGAATCCATATTCTACTCTGATCTTTACACACTGTACCATTTATTATGTAAAAATGAATCAGATAACATTTTCAATTTTACGTCACATCGATTTTAATTATTTTATTTTAAATATTATTTAAATATATTGTTAAAATCTCAATAACAATTAATTATACTAATTTTTTTCAAGTAAACTCTAATTAATACAAAAAAAAAATAAGAAAATCAGTTTTCTTTTTTTTTTTTTAATTATTTTATAAACAAGCACGCCCTTGGTGTCTGATATAAATTTATATATTATTTTCAAATTCAAATTAATTTTTCTTTTTTCAATCTCTATAATTCTTTCTTGTATGATTTCTTTAAAGTTTCTTGGGTTCTTCACTTCCAATTTTTTTTTTTTTTTTTTTTAAATATTGCATTGCTTGACTTTAATTTTTTCAGAATGCTTCATTTTTATTTTTATTTTTCTTAATTTTTTTTTTTCTAAATTTATTGTTTATGAAATAATTCAATTTGTTTTATATCTTGTTTACATCGAATTTTACACAACAATTAAACTGGAATATTCATATAAATCAATCACTTCAGAAATAAATTATTGATAATACCCAAATTAAAAGAAAAAAAATAAAATAAAAATATTCAACTTACATTTAAAAAGAATGATGAAAGTAAAAGCACCGAAAGAGCTGTTCCCTGCGACATAGAAAAAAATAATAAAATATAAGTTAAGCTCGTAAAATTAATAACTCATAAAATTAATTAACTAAATCAAATAAAATCCAAATAAATCAAGAATGTGTCAATTGAAAAAATGTTTGAAGCACATTTGCCAACTCAACTCGCTGGCAGCTGCCTTAGAACACAAGAGTTGTGAGTGTGTATATATACACATTCATTACCTATTAGGGTAAAAAATATTATTTTACGAACCGGATTAGACCGACCGGTCGATAATTGCCGACTATTTCTTTGGTAAATAGATATTTTTAACTTTAAGAACCGAATTAGACCGACTGGTCGATAATTGCCGAATATTAATACTTTGGTAAATGGATAGTTTTTAAGAATACAATTGGATCAGTCAGTCGATTTGGCACCTATGTCTAGTTTTGATAAGCAAATCAGATTGGCTTGTCGATAATGTTCGACTATGTTTGTTGTGAAAACATAATTTTGAGAACCGAATCGAACCGACTGGCCAATATTCGGCGATTACTCAAGGGTATACTAAGTAATTTACACTAAAAATATAAAGCGCTATGAAATATTAATTGGGTAAGTTTTTGAATTGTGAATAACTATATTAGACACAAATTAAATACAAACATTAACTTGAATTCAACAAATCTATATATTGGGATCCTACTTTAATATGGGACAAGATAGGGAAAAAATTATTTAGGAACCATAACTGCCTTGGCTATATCATTGACTAATTATGAGGTAAATTTCATATTAGGTCTATCCTCAATAATTAGGTTACAAATTTGAATAATAGAATATAGAATGAAGATTTGAAATATAAAATTAAATTAGGTTAATTTATTTTTGGGCTGAAATTAGTAAAATAATTTTAATATCATGTATCTACATATTAAAGGAAAATATATAAAACAAATGCTAGGAGCATCTTTGAGACCCTTTTATATTAACATAACCAATCACTACAAAACAATTGTTATATTCCAACGAAAAATCAACACTTACTTATTACGAACGTGGGTGTAATTAAATTATGCCACTTGTTTGAAGAAGTAAAATATTTTAATAAGATAGTATTTGTTGGAAATTTTTAATGGTAATCAATGGTAAAATATTTTGTAGAGACTAAAATTTCAAGTTGTAAAATATTTTTTGTTGAGATTAAAAATTTCACTTGAAATTTTACTTGGAAATTTTTTATTTCGAACAGTATTTTTTTCAACGTTTTTTTCTTTCTTTTTTTTTTTTTTTT